ATATATATATATATATATATATATATTTTTTTATATCAACTAGTAAATTTAAAAAATTTAGCTTTATAAAACCGACTTGAATTAAATAGATATAAAGACCGACTTTCTTTCTCTCTCTCTCTTTTTACATAGAACCGCAAAGATTTAATCTATTATACCTGAAAATACATACATCTTTATAGTTGGCTATGAAAAATTTCGCTGTATGATCAAGAGTCGTCGAGGCCAACGATAAGTCACCGAGAGGTGCGAGTAGAGGTACATGAAGATGACCCAGTGAGTCTAGTTGCAGGTGCTTAACGTCGAGTAGTGTAAACGCACGATCGGCCGCAACCACTAAACCGACCTCCAAGTATATCCGCACGAGCAGAATTTTTACGTGAAAATTTGCAGGACTCGATAGGAGACTACGTTCCAACAACGACATTGCCCTGCAAATCCACCACTGTAAAAACTGTATATACTTTCAGGGTATTACCAACGATCATTACCTATAAAGGAAAGACGCGTCATTAGTGTCAACCCATAATTGATGCAGCAGATGCGAAGCTAATAAAATGTACGAATCCGCCGGACAGAAATTGGTCGGCAATCGTTCTTGCACCGGACAGAGTTCGTTGCCCTTTTCGTACAAATCGCACAGTCGCTTTATCAGTTTTTCCTGTTTATTTCTGTCTGCTAAAGGAGGATGGTGGAAACCGCAAATACGTCGCAACTGTTCTAAGTGGATATACTTTTGCAACTGTTGTACGGTAGTTGGAAACTCGTCTGGCGCGACACTAATGTCTTTTTCGATCTACAATATCGCAAATATATATCATACAAATGTTTGATGTAACAAGCCATATAAAAAAGATGAGGATGTTAATGCAATTGTATGCACTTTAAGAATGTTTATCCAAGTTTTATCCTGTTTTTCTTACCCTTTCGAGTAACTCCGCTTTGCTCTTAGGTGTGAGTATACTTAAATATAATCGCAAGTCACTAACTACACAGCCTTTTTCTCCAAATTGTGAAAAATATTGATGCATAAGATCCACAGATTGCAAGCTGTACTGTGCATCTTTGTCAGTACAGGTACGTTTCAGTAATTCCAAGCGTGCCAAGTAAGGCGCGCGAATTTTGTTTTCGGACATATTAATAATATTGTTAAGGAAATCCAAGCATTCTGTCGGTTGTGAAAAGTTTAAGGCCATCGAAAGGTAATTTTGATAAAACGCCCAATTATCAGTGCTGTATAATAAATATATAATTGTAATTGCGCGTAACATCGAGTCTTCCTTCCTTGTAAATATTAAGAGAATATTGATTATGGACTCTTACTTTTTTCTAATAAGTTCTTGATATGCTTCAGCAGCTTCAGGGAAACGTTCTAATTTCTTAAAAGTGTCGCCTTTCGTTGTGGCACGTATGAAAGATGCGAAGCTAAAGGACTAGACAATACGTTTAATATCTCTTCATTTTTGTCTTGCAGCTCTAAAATCATTAAGTAAAGCTGCACCTCTTGTTCAGCTTCCATTTTGCCTTCCTTTACTAACTTTAGGACCTGATGTACTCACAGAAATTATTTCATTAGTTATTTTCGCGATATCTTAATACATTACTAGTAAATTTTGATTCTATAAACATGTGCAATTACACATAATAGTAATTAGTGTAATGAGGGATAGTAAGAATTTTATACATAAAATTATATATAATTATATGTATATATAAGTTACACATAATTACAGATAAAGATTAATGTACAAACCATTCTCTCTGCCAAAGGCAACGTAACCCCTTTTGCCAGCTTCTCATCTGAATGAGTAGCCTGCATCACTATACTCATAACAGCCCAGAAGTAATACGGATTCTTAGGTTTTACTTTATACAAGGCTATGGCAGTTTGTTGCTGTTTCTTATAATCACCAAGGCGAACATACGACATGAAAAGATGCGTCAGAAGCTCCTCATTATGTGGATCAGCTTTTGCAGCAGCTTCATAAACTTCGCTAATTTTGTCGGCTGTACATAAACAAATTCAACAAAGTAGGCATAGCACACACAATCACAATGTAACTTGAAATATGTCAATCATCATAGATTTCAAAATTACGTCTATGTGGGTTGTTTTCATATTGTTTATCTAATATATATCAGCCTTTTGTCATATAGATAATGTAAACTATGTAGAATATTGTATAACAAAAATATACAAAAAGAATAATTAAACTATGAGAATATTGTATAACAAAAATATACAAAAAGAATAACTAAACTATGAGACAGAGTTACACATTGTACCCATTTTGTATATTAATAATAAATGTAATGTAAACTATGTAGAATATTGTATGATAAAAAATATACAAAAAGAGTAATTAAACTGTGAGATAGAGTTATATATATATAATGTATTAATAATATAGTGTATTAATAATAAATATAATGTTTAAAAAAGACAATAAATTTCAAGAAATTTTCATTTCACTATATGATATGTAATTGGTAGATTTAACTTTAAGAATGTAAGTTTAAGAATATAACTTTAAAAACCAGAGAATTCTATGAATTCTAACTTATTTAACTTACTTATTTAGGAAACATCAATCATAAAAATTTACACCATTCTAAATGTTGAATAAAATATAAACTTAATTTTTGAGCAAACCGTATCTTCCTTAAACAACATCTATATATTGTTCATAAGGATATCTCCTATACAGTTTACATTGTCTACACATCGATGTAAAGTATTATGATTTACACACAAAGACCACAACCACTATATATACAATTTTAACATCATAAATATAAATCTGTACATCTTATTATATCAAAAAAGAGTTTGAAGAAGTTGAAGCATGAATTACAACAGTCAATAAACTGTGACATTGACTGAGAACTTACGCTGAAGTGTCTCTCTGTAGCAAATACTCATTGCCTGCAAAGTAGAATCCTCACAGGGCACCTCAGACCGTACTTTATCCATAATAACTTGGCACTCATCCTGCTTGCCCAGTCGCAGCAAGGCCAAGGCCTTGAGCACCCTGGCACACTGATTACCTGGTTGCTTTCTAAGCACCTTATCTGCCTCTTGGAGAGCTTTCTTATTGTTCCCATTGTCCAACCAGTCTGAAAATTAGAGAAGCTTCACTGGCTGCCGTTACATAACCTAGTTGCCGGTCTGCCGGATACGACCAGGGGTTCCAAACTCTTATGGGCTAAAAGTGGTCAGTGTTTGTGGCGCCCTCGCTCTATAGCAGGCAGCAAAGTGGAACTAATATCTGTTCTTTTTAGCTGAACTAGTGCAGCTAAGTGGAACAGATTAACAATCTGTTATGGCCATTATATTGTATACGTGATACGACGTCATACTCGTATATAACGTGAAAAACAATAAAGTTTGCGTGAAAAGGGAAATCATGGTGAGAGCGTGTTGTGTGTCAAACTGTTCTTCGAGAGGAAATATGCCAACTCACACATTTCCGAAGGATTTGGAACGCCGCAACAAATGGTTTCATAATTTGCATATGAAACCTCCATGCGAAGAAAGCGAAATAAAAAAATTGAGAGTATGCTACTAGCACTTTTGTGAGGATAATTATAGTGACTCATCATCAAGACGAATATTATTGCATTATGCAATTCCATCTGTAAATTTGCCACATCAGGAATTAAGCAGCCAAGAACAGCATTAACAAAACAGTCCAAAATCGCATACAGAGCAAAATAAAGAACAACATGAAGACGCGGAAGCATTATCATACAATGAGAGCATTCTTTTACAACAAGAAAAACAGCAAATAACATTAGATGAGCAACAGGTCAAATTACGACAAGTACAGGAAATTGTACATAAACAACAAGAGGAAATTGAAAATATAAAAAAGATATTATATTACAAAAGAGGCTATATGTGTTGCAAGCCCAAATCTTGAAGAAGTCACCCGTAAGAACTTATTAAGTCCAAAAGAGAGGAAATTATATGACAAAATAGTTAAAATGAGAAAAGATAAAAGACGGCTAAAGAGACTGCTGACTAGACGCAAGAAAGTAAATATAGAAAAATCAATAACACTGCATACAATTGATTCCACAGGTAATGCTGATAAGCATGAACAACATGTGAGGCAGCAGTTCATAAATATGATTATTAGAAACAATGATGTGGCACCACAGGTAAATTTCCAAATCCAATAAAAGTTGACTAACAATTCCATAACAATTTTTTGTAATACACATTTATCTATTTTGTATAAAAATATTCAATTGTAACTTTTAGATAATCTTTTCTATATTATTGATCTAAATTATATGTAGATTATGCATTTAATTGTATATTATTTATTTTATATGTTTACACATTTATATGTGTACAAATGAAAATATATATTTATTATCATTTTATTATTGATATTTCGTTTTGAAAAAATCATAAATTTTGTATATTTTCTGTCATTAATAGGCCAGACGCTATACAATAGATGACAAAATGTTTTGTATAGGCATTTCCCATAGATCACGCTCATCATACAAATTCATTTGCAAATATCTTCCATGTCCTTCCCTCAATACTTTGAACAAAGAACTACAAAGTATTCCTTTAGATACTGGGTGCAATAAAATCATGTACCAATATTTACATTTAGCCGCAAGAGAAATTGATCCAAAAGATTTAAACGTAATTATAATTTGGGATAAAATGTCATTACAACCAGCCATTTTTTACAATAAAAAAAGCAACAAAATAATCGGGTTTGAAGATTGGGGGATGAGGAGAACCAGAAAATTTGCAGACCATGCAATTCTATTTTACATGAGATGTCTTGCATCTGGCAATCGTATGCCTCTTGGCTATGGATTCTGTAATAGTACAACTTGCACCATTCAGCTTGTTAGATGCATAAAGCAATGAATAAAATCAATCAGCTTGTTAGATGCATAAAGCAATGAATAAGTTTTGTCATAAAATGTGGGTTCAGACCAGTAGCAACTGTGTGTGATCAAGGAGGACCTAACACAGCAGCAATTAATATGTTGATCAAAGAGAGCAACGATGTACGACATAAACAGCATCAAAATTCCAGTAAGTAAAGTGCACTTTTGATTAAATTTTATTAGTTTCATCAATTACAACAGTGATATTGTTTTGTATCACAATTTGTGATATTGTTGTATATAACTATTTGTGTAATATAATATATATTAATAAAGTTCCATTTATTTATAGAAAATACATTTCTTGTGGAAAATAAAGAAATTATCCCCCTTTATGATTATGTACACTTACAAAAAGGAATACGCAACAATTTATTAACAAAAGATCTGATTATAAATAAATATAAGAAAGAATCTGAAAAACAGTTTGCATCATGGGATGACATTATTATTACATATAACATGGATAAATATTCCTTGTTAAGACAACGACAAATGCCAAAATTGACTGACAGACATATTTTTACACATCTTATGCCGAAGATGAAAGTAAAATATGCTACACAAGTATTGAGCCACACGGTGGCAAATTTCATGGATATTATACTGACGTTAAATAAAGGTACAATGCAATAATTATTAAAAAATAATGGTAATTATGTTTATTTCAATTACGTATATAACAAATTAAATGTTTAAATATATTTTTCTATTACAGGTAGTGTAAATACTACAAAAGGAACTATGTACTTATCACCTAGTGCTGTGACAACGTCAGAAGTGATTGTATTTTTTAATAATTTATTTGATTCTTTTAATAGAAAAAATGGTAAAATATACTCAAGTATTATTACTTCATCAAGCAATCATTTAGCATTTTGGCAAGACGCTGCTCGCACACTACGCAAAATGGACTTTGTGGAAAGTAAAACTCACAAATATATTCGGCATAAGTCCAAATGTCTTGTAAATTGGGTATGGATTATTGAAGGTGTCAAATATCTTTGGGATATTATGAAAAAATATGACTTTTCCTCATTAAATTTACGATACATTAATCAGGATCCAGTCGAAAATTGTTTGAGTCAAATACGCGATCACGGACACAGAAATAATAATCCGTCCCCTTATCAATTTTGTGCTGCATTTAAAGCACTTGTAACAAATAATTTAACATCTAAACATTCCATTTCTTCAAATTGTAAAGAAGATTATGAAGGTAAATCATTATCACTCGGAAGAATGATTTCAACAGCTGAAAGTATTACATTGAGTGAGGAACAAAATGAAGAAACAGATTGTACAGAAATTTCAATACCGTTACCAACAATATCCAATACATTTATTAATGCAGAAAAATTTATTAATATTTTAATAAATAACATTGCGATGGAATGTACAGAGTGTATACAATGCTTTAAAAATGAAAATACTTTGAACATTATACAACACGCACTACAAATTGTAGAATTGCAATTTATGAATTTCTGCCATAAAGTAAAGGTCACAGAGAAGTTGAAAAGTATTTTATATTTGGAAGCATTTGCAAAAATTTCAATACATTGTGCTGCACAGCTAGATTCTTTT